ATCATGATGATATTACCTTGTTTAAAGAAAAGTCTGCAAGGAAACAACCAAACTCAGAGAGCACCAAGGGCTTCTTACCAAATTTTCTGTCGCATTGGCTCATATATTCCCCTCCCCTCAATTAATCATGCATCACACAACTCGTTAGCCTCTGTTATCCAGCTGTTCCTTAACTCACTACTCTGTCTTGTTTTTAAACTCAGCCAGACTTGGAAGAAAAACCATGAAATGAATACAGTAGACCAGCTTGACAATTCAGCATGAAACGCAGCTGAAGATAACTGGCCAACCTTTGGCTCTGCTATAAGGTTGCACATCAGAGATGGTATTCAGCCAGTTCTGACAGGTTCTGGAGAACCAGTACCGGAAATTTTGAGTAGTTTGGAGAACAGGAGAATGCAGCTGAAAAGCAGATTAATGGGGTGGGGAGGGAAGGGGGATTTTGCAGTAACCTTCCCCTGGGAGAGGGGAGGGAATACAGTTTCTGCAGTATCCTTCCCCTGGAGTGGGGAGGAAATGGAAATTTTGCAGTATCCTTTCCCTGGAGTGGGGAGGAAATAGAAATTTTGCAGTATCCTTCCCCTGCCATGCCCACAAAGCCACACCTACAGAACTGGTAGTGAAAAAATTTGAATCCCACCACTGTTTCATATCAGCTTGGAAAGGTATCCTGAACTCTTAGCCTTTAAAGGATGTTAATGTAATCTATGTGGAATTAAAAAAAGGAGACACAATAACACTGCAGCTGCAGACATGGAGAAAGATTGTTGTTTATTCGTTGTCATCCCTTCAGCAGGGCAGAATAATGTTTGATTTGTGTCAGCGTAGATCAAGGGATGGTAGTAGAAGTCAGAAATTGGCCAGGATAGAGCCTGTTGTTGGGCAGCTGATCCGTCTTCATGGCTCTCTGATTATAGGAACAAGGGGGCCCTGGAGGCAGAAAGGCAGTAGGGAGGGGGACTCCAATGTCAGATGCCGGTCAGAGTTTGACTTTGGAGGGTGAAATCCAATTAACCTTCTTGAAACTGATGTAATGTGTACAGTGAGTGATGCCCTAAAGAGGCGGTGGAGAACATTGTGAATGAAGGGAAAAGAGAATTGATCACATGGCGTGGATGAAAATGCAAATGACATGTACGAATTGGAACAAAGAGGGAAACATACATGGGAGAGGGAGAAAGGTAACGAGAAATAAATGCCTGAAAAAGAAAAGAATATATATTTTTAGGAAGAATTTCTTAGGCTTGTCTTACGGGAAGAAGGTTCTGAAGGACAGAGCTAGTGGAAAACAAATTGAGTGAAATAAATTCTGGAATATGGACAAGTGGGACGGAGGACATCTAGAGACCAACGTAAAGTATTCCTTTGCTGTTATTTAGTGTCTAATCTGGGACCATTTCAGCCACCGTTGCCTTCTTAGTTTGGTTAATGGGAATTGTAGTTTCTCATCACTTGTAGATGTCACATTCAGGGGGCACGAGCTAAGTTTGCAGGATGGCCCAAGTTAGGGGTAGTTTCAGGCTGCTGCTACTGCCGGTTCCCTCAGGGTTGCGCTGTGTACACTCTTGATGCGTGCTATGCTCACATGTGCAGTACTACAAAATGCAGCTGCACATGCACAAAAAACAAGATGGTGCCACCTACAGTGCTGAGTGAACCAATTCGGGGGCATGGTAAGACCGAGTTACTACCTACTTGGCCGAACCAGGCCGAACCGGAAGGAACCCACCTCTGGTTCAAATATTTCAAGGCAGCTATTAATCCTCATATAAGTCAACTGTCAATTCTGGATTGCTGAAATAATTGATTTCGCTTTTCTTTCTTCTGATTGAACCCTAACCCCTCTCGTCTCTATTTGCCTCCTTCTGCTTTCATTAAGATTCTCCCACAGACTGCATACAAAACTGTAGAGTCCTTGGTGCTCTCTATGCTTGCTTGTTTCTTGGAGACATTTCATTACTCAACTAGGTAATGTCATCAGTGCTACTAGTTGGGTAATGAAATGCCTATAAGAAAGCAGCCCAGTTCAGAGAGCCGCGAGAAGCCCAATTCAACCTTGAGTACAACTATTCTCTTTTATTCTCTGCTTGAGAAAATCTGCCTCTGGTTTGTTCGTTTAAGTCACGAATGCTGATGCAATTGATTCAAAAAGGCTTTGCATTTTGCCAATTCTGTATTTAAGCAAAGGCAAAGCTGAAACAGATCACATATGGGATCTAATCCATGAAGAGCTGCTCTCCATCAATGTCCTATTTAAAAACAAAACAAAAACAGAAGTCCCAGAGCTGCTCAGGGACATCCACAGTACGTAGGTCAAAATCTGTAAAATGGTGGGCAAGAGATTGTGATTGATACTCCCCCCCCACTTTTGAACATGGGAACAGGGCCTGGATCAATTTGACTGCAGATTTTGGCCCATGTCCTATAGAACCATCGCAGCCAGTATCTTCACAGGAGGTTAAATTGTGAATATCAAATGCTCTTACAATCTTCCCCAAGATGGAGTGATATCCATAATTTTATCTTTCTCATCCATCATCCATCCATCCATCCATGTATGTATATATAAGCAGGAAATCTGACGATTCTAGCTAATATAAATTGCGTATGATAGCTGATTGTTGGAATGGTACCGGTTTGAGAAAAATGGTAGCAATCCATCCATCTATCCATCCATCCATCCATCCATCCATCCATCCATCCATCCATCCATCCATCCATCCATCCATCATCTCTCTCTCTCTCTCTCTCTCCCCTACCCCTCCCTCTCTCATCTATTTTAAAGAATAACTTTTTAAAAATGTGTATCGGATCATTTACTCATGGAAATCCACGTGTATCCAAGTCTTTCCCAAGCTTTGTTTTGGCATGGCCAATACAGTTTCTTTGGGAACATGGACCTAGTTAGCAGAATTAGGAGGTCAGTTGAAAAAATATCTCCCTTTGAAAGAGACATCTCCCTCTTAGAAGTCAAGTGGCAATGGCTTGACTCCTTTCAGGCAATGATTAAAGGCCCACCCCTAGATTGAGATAATCAATTCAGCCCCTCAGCCATTCAAACTATTTTTGTTCGAAGAAAGGGGGGAACGAGACAAGGCCCATTGGACAGAGCAACCTTCCTGACAGAGAATCTTCCAAAGCTCCCAATAAACTTTAGAGACCATGGGTTAGATTACAGCTACTTTTACAGTCATGAAATAGTTAAGAAAAGGGACATGGTGGCTCAGTGGCTAACACGCTGAGAGGATTGTCGATCAGAGGGTTGGCAGTTCAGCAGTTCAAATCCCTAGCACTGTGTAACGGAGTGAGCTCCCGTTACTTGTCCCAGCTTCTGCCAACCTAGCAGTTTGAAAGCAGGTAAAAATGCAAGCAGAAAAATAGGGACCATCTTTAGTGGGAAGGCAACAGCATTCCGTGTCCCTTCGGCCATATGACCACGGAGACGTCTTCAGACAGCGCTAGCTCTTGGGCTTTGAAACGGAGATGAGCACCGCCCCCTAGAGTCGGGAACGACTAGCACATTTGTGCGAGGGGAACCTTTTACCTTTTAATAGTTAAGAAAGAGTAACCACAAACAACTTAGAAGGTAAAATAATGCTTTATTTCATGGATCAACAAACACTATTGTGCCACACCAGGCTTCTTCTTTACAAAATTTTATAAACAGAGGGAGGGGTCACCTCCTCTGGAGCAAGATCAGCTCAGGCATCCCGGCCTATAAGGTTAGCGAAACCTGGAACCGTACCATTCACATGGTCTATTTGGCATTTGGCTGAAGGAATGGATTATTTTGCAGTAGCTTTCTATAGGACTCTTGATGCAGAGTAAACTATGAAAGAAGGGGGGGGGGGAATCAACAAGATTCCTGATTTCCCCCCCCCTCCCCGCCTTGGGCTTTGGTTTACTGGTACATCTCCCACGAGGATTTAATGGCCACCCACAGCTAACAATCTCAACCTAAATTAAAGCAGAGGCAGAAAGAAAGAAAGAAAGAAAATATCTGGGTGAAGCATATCACCAATTCTCCTGCTGTCTTGGATGTGTGTCCTCTCAACAATACATGTAAAGATGCAGAAGCATCCTGCACTGACATTCAAGTTGCCAAAAACTGTAAAAAGAAAAAAAAAGGAGCCACAGAGTTAATTTAGTCCAAATGAACACCTCTTAATAAGCAAAGAAGGTTTTTTTTTTCCTCACATGCACGTAGAACACAAGACGTTAAGAGTAAGAATAATAATCCATGATGCCGGAGCAGAAGGGAACTTGACAAATCTTCGACTTTACATTCCTTTTATACACAACAAAATGAAGTATACAATATTCATATTAGTTGTACATTGGGTCAGAATAATTTACAGGGAGGAACAGTAAGCAAAGCAAAAGAGAAGGAGGAGGAGGAGGAGGAAAAGAGGAATTCCAGGAATAAAAATATGGATTGGGGGATAGTTTTTGAACTGTTTTAATCTTGTCTCCTCTGAACTTTAGGAAAGAAATGACTGTGTTCAAAATTCCAGGAGGGGGAAAAAAAAAATCAAAGGAAAAAATAAGAGACAAACCTGCAATGCCCCAACCCAGATTTTTATCATTACATTAACACAACGTACAGATAAGGCAGTGTGTTAGGACTAATTAAAAGCCGTATAATATTATGAAGGTAACAGTATAAATGACAGAAGCTGTAGCTATTGATAAAAGCAAGAGAAGCAATTCAAGAGAAGCAATTTCCATTTTCTGTTCACTTGCTGATACAACACACTTCCAAGCACGATTAAGACATGATCTTTTGAGAGCAACTTCTCACATTTTCCCAACCCTGCCAATCCGCGACAATAGGGACTAGCAACTTGGGGATATTGTAGGACGATGACCAGTCATGCAGCTAACTTTGTCCCTCTAAAAAAGGACTTTTTAAAAAAAGCATAGGACAAAATATCGGTTAATATTGGACAATTCAAATCCATAAAGTTAAATTGCTGTTGGGAGCATTAAAGAAACAAAAGGATATTCCAGAATATCTAAAAAGAATAATATCTTAAGCAGGAACTCCTGTGGATCTCTAGGCTTTAAAGGGGTTTTCTTAAAGCCTAGAGAACATTGCAGCAACAAAGTTTTAGTAGAGCAAGGCTGAAGAGAAAAGGGGGCGACAGCTAAAAACCATATATAGAGAAATGCCTGTACAGTGTGTGGTTAGTAAAGCTACAGCGGTGCTTTTATACAAAGAAAACGCCAATGTAACTGAGCAGTTCTGCAGCAAATGCCTAATTTCTTGGAAATGCAGAAGACGACAGATAAACAACACACAATTTCAGTACCCCTCGAAAAATAATTGTGCTATAATCTTTATTCCATGGATGGTTCGTTTTATAGGAAACAATGAGATGCTAAATAAGGGACCCCTAATACAGACAAGAGTATTTTAAACTCATTTCTGGGACTTGCATTTGAGCAACGGGAAAAGGGTTTGCCTTGTGGGCATCTGGGCGAATTTGCCTTCAGACTTCCGTTTCCCAGTCAATACGCTTTATAGCCAGAAATCAGACCGCAGCCATTTTTGTTCGTAGGGATCGGTTCTCAACAGCAGCGCCTGCTGAGTTCCTCATGCTTAAATATTTTTTTTCCGTTTGAGAAGGCGGGAGCTCCGATACCAGCACCAGGACTGCTATTCCGTTTTCGCTTTCCTTAAATACATGCTCACACAACACTCCTTTTCTTCAGGGAAGGGAAATCGGGAGGATTTAGTTGCATATCTTTTTTTTTTTTTTTTTTGAGAAGTCGCCTTGTGCTTCTCAGCACAAGCCCAGAAAAGTTAATCTTCATCCTCGTCTTCTTTCGTGGAAACCACTGGGGCTTTGTCTGGGACTTCGAAACATCCCACGAAGAAATTGACAATGGACTTGTATAAGTGCTGCTCCAGGGTTGGGTTGTTGAAGTAGTGACCTTCGTCGGGGTAAATCTGGCAAGGAAAAGGTCATGGTTGAGGTGGGACTCACATCTTTGGGAGGGGGGGAGTGTTTCTTCAAAGCCAGAGCATCTCCCAAGAAACAAAATGGCTGCCACAGCCGCCTGATTGAAGCCCCACCCCTTGTTTACACGCCACATGCATAATAAAAAGGGGTGGGCTTTCAATTAAACAGTGAAGGCCCGCAACTTGATTTTTTTGGGGCTTTCATCTGAATGTCCCTGATCAAAGTCTGAGGATCAGTGGTGGCTTGCTCCCGTTTCGGCCTGGTTCAGGCGAACAGGTAGTAGCGGTGGCGTGAGGCTCCGCCCACCCACCCGGACACTTCTGTGCATAAGCATTGCGTAAAGCGCAGGCATGGGATCGCGCCCGAACCAGTAGTGAAAATATTGGCAACCTACCACTGATGAGGATCATCAATTACTCACAATTATGAGTTGGGATAGGATATGTAGAGCAAGGCAGGTTTATATAGAAGTAGTCTTCAACTTACAACCATTCTTTTAGTGGCTGTTTGAGACTTTGGTAGCACTGAAAAATTAGGAGTATTTTTCACACGACTGTTGCAACCTCTCCATGGTCATGTGATCAAAATTAAAATGATTGGGGCCTGGGTCATCTTTACAATGATAGGAGCAGCCCAGGGTCATGTGGTCACCTTTTGTGACCTTCTAACAAGCAAAGTCAATGGGGAGGCCAGATTTACTTAACAACCAATTGTGTTACTAACTTAAAAATTGTAGTGGTTCACTTAACAACTGTGGCAAGAAAAGGTTGTAAAATGGGCCAAAACTTACTTAACAATACCCTTGCTTAGAAATGGACATTTTGGGCTTAGTTGTGGTTATAAGTTGAGGACTACCTATAGTTCAAATATAGTTTTGAGGAATTAAATAGAAACTAACAAAATTTCTAATTTTGCTGTTAAGTTCTGGTCTGTTGTTCAGGATGCAAATAGAAGGGAAGGGAAATTTCTTTTGTAAAACAAACCCACAATTTTCTTTTTTAAACTTAAACACAGTAGTCTTTTTAAAACCACCTTGCTCTTTTTTGGCATGCGAATATTTTATATGCTTTGTATTCTGAAATATGTTAAAAATGAGCAATTTGTAACACATTTCTGATTAATACATTGTTTGGAATGTGTTGTTTAAATAAATTCTCCCTCCCTCCCAAAAAATTTAATATGCTAAATTTTTTGTTGTTGTTTTCTTCTAATATAATAAAAGCATATGATGAAATTCCCAAGATAACAGTGCTTAGTACTGTAATTTGGGCAAAATCTCTAAAATAATTAGAGAAAACCAAGATCCATGGGAAAACGCCAAGATGGCATAGTACCAAGCTTCATTTTGACACACCCAACTGCACGGAGGTTCTTAAGAAATATATACATATAGACATACATACACATACATACATACATACATACATACATGTATATAAATTTAATTTGTATTGTGCTTTTATTACTTGGCCAATTGGTCTAGTGGTGAGTATTACTATTAACCACTAGACCCATGATGACAAACCTGTGGCACACAGAACCCTCTCTAAGAGAATGTGAGCCCTCGAACCAGCTCAGCTCCATCACACATGTGTGCGTGCCCCCCGTTGGCTAACTGATTTTTGGGTCTCTGCCGCGCATGGCCCATTTTTGCTCCCAGGAAGCTACCTAAAATGGGCCCGTGTGTGTGTGTGTGTGCGCATGCGTGGGGGGTTGTGTGTGCAAGTGTGGGGGTTGTGTGTTCATGAGTGGGGGGTTGTGTGCACATGTGTGGGGGTTGTGTGTTCATGTGTGGGGGGTTGTGTGTGCATGCGTGGGGGTCGTGTGTGCATGCATGGGGTCATGTGTGCATGCGTGGGAGGGTAGTGTGTGCATGCATAGGGAGTTTTGTGTGCATGCATGGGGGGTCGTATGCACATGCTTGTGGTTGTGTGTGCATGTGTGTGGGGTCATGTGTGCATGCATGGTGGTTGTGTGTGCATGCATGGGGGGTCGTATGCACATGCTTGTGGTTGTGTGTGCATGTGTGGGGGGCTGGAGTGCATGGGAGCATGCA